GTTGATGATTAATTTAAGTCAGGACTTGTTTAGAATCAGAAATGCGTTGATTTGTATGGCGTCTGAAATGTAACTTTATAAGCTGAAAATAAAGCGTTCCTATTTGTTTGGGATGAACACAAATGTATAGCCCGACCGTAGATAAACTAAACCCTTTTTCTTAATCCATTTGCTTTCAATTGCATCAATTACAGTACAAGTTTTTGAATTTATTACATATGACTCGTTTCAACACGTTCACTTTATATATTAGCAATCAACATTATTGTCCATAAATTGGGTTTTATTACTTTATATTGCATATCGAAATATACATTACATCTAAGTTCTATGTTGAAAGCAATTTTCTTTAACTTCTAATTTCTATTTCTTCTAAACTTCTGTAAGTTACTAACACGCTTTAAATATTGATTGACAAGGTCATTATTGACGTCACTTGTTTTTGTTTTTGATCTGACATGAGTTGTAATTGGAAGAGCAGCACGTATACTGCATTTTCAATGTTCTGTTTTCTAACGACCATTATGGTAATACAAGCATAGGCAAATGGCCATGGAATTGCATGTAAAACACTTGTAGGTTTTTCATGTGTTTTCGTATTTGCTGTTTTTTGTGTTTTTTTTCGACATAACTAATTTAAAAGCGAATTTTCAAAGTTTACGTGTATACACAAGGTGGTTGGACATTTACATGTACTTGTTTTCTATAAGAGAAATAAGTTTAAATTTTGCCGATTTTCGGGAAAATGCTAAAATGATATTATGTACGGAAACATATGTAAAACATTAATTACTACGAACACATTATTATTGTTGCCAAAATGATTAATCAAGTTCCATAAGCAGTGACGTAGACAGGAGAATAGATAATTAGGTTTATCTGTTAATTTGTATTAAATCATAAGCACTTCTTGTCCAAACTTATATATATTTTAATATTTTCTTTCCTTTTTTATATTTAAGCGATGAAGCAATAGTTGTAGGTTATTTCTCAAAGTATAAACATTAAATCGACAAAACGAAAAACGCATCAGTACATACCATTGTAAAAGTAAAAGGTTTCATTTATCAACTGTTTGTTAAAAATCGACAAAGTGTCTATTCGTGCTATGTTTGTTGGTCTTCCAATTACAATTTGTGTCAAATCAAAGAAAGAAACCTCTGATGCAAATTACGGTATGGTTAATCAATATTGAAAGCTTGTTAGCGACTGTCAGAAACCTTCTCTATTCATTTGATCAGATCAGTGAGAAGAATAAATTGATAATTTACGAGAATAACTAATATCTGGAGAAAAGTGATCCCTCGGAAGCATTTAAAAGTTCGTATATTAATAAACTAGAACTCCGCAAGTCGGATGTGTCGCCTTGTGAACAATATAGTTTAGGAGAAATAGCCAGGACAAAAATGAAATGTGAAAATTAACAAGGGCAATAACTCAAAAAAAAAAAAGAAATGCAGAGCAGGATTTCTTTTCACTGCACCTCTTATCAATAAGATCTATCATCCTATGAAGTATCAAGTCCATAGCTTTTATACTTTAGGAGAAATGGCCCGGACAAAAATAAAGTATGAAAATTATCAAAGGGCAATAACTCTAAAATTAAGAAGCGCCGAGTACCGGTTGTTATGCACTGCATTTTGGGTCATTATAAGAAGCATGCATACCAAGTTTGAAGTCAATCCAACTTAAAATGACTGACTTATGTTCTTGACAAGGTTAAGGGGACGCCGACACCGACAACAACGCCGACACCGACAACGACGCCGCCGACAAAAGTAACCTCTATATGTCGCCCTTTTCAATGCGACACAAAAACCAACAACATTACACGTGAGGATAACGCCTGATATGATCCCTTAACAATTCAATGATAATCATTTTTCCCGGAATAAATCTGACCTATATCACAAAACGCTAATTCCTCTTTAGGAATGGATTTTTCAAATTGAAGCGTTTGATTTTGGATTTAATGTGATATTAAAGTAGAGAAATAACATAATCCCTAAAGAAGCACAATATGGCAAAATTGGAAAACGTTGCAGGCTCGGTTTGATTAAGCATGTTCATGGACAGTACTGAAACGTGCAAGTAACCCTCCACGCCCACTAGCACCGACTCAAGCAGAATTCAATATTTAAACACAAAAATGGTGAAATTTTGAATTTAGAAACATCTGTAGATATGTCCATATGGCGGTAATCATGAAACCTTTCATGTGAAACAGTAGTGCCATTCCATGTAAAGCGGCGTATTGAATTTTGCCATAAATGGGTACATGGAAGTGTTCAGTTATGAAAAAAAGAAAAAAAAATGAAGACTTTGTGATAGTTTTCAAGATAATGAGCGGAAACCATTTTGACATTTTAGGTCCTTGTGACATTGACCTTTGAACTAGTGACCAAAATCAATAAGGGTCATCTTATAGTTATAACCAATCAATATAAGACATATGAAGACTTTGTGATAAATACTACCACTCAAGGGCGCTGTGACCATGACCTTTGACCTAGTGACCCCAAAATCAATAGGGATCACTTACTAGTTATGACCACTCAGTATGTGAAATATGAAGACTTTGTGATAAAAGTTTTCAAAAAAATGAGCAGAAACCATTCTGACATGTAAGGTACCTGTGAACTTGACTTTTGAACTAGTGACCCGAAAGCAATATGAGTCATCTACTAGTTATGACCAATCAGTATGTGAAATATGAAGCCTTTGTGATAAATAGTTTTCAAGATAATCAGCGGAAACCATGTGGTCTACCGACGGACAAACCGATAGACAGACAGACCTACATTTGCAAAACAATAAACCCATTCTTTTTCGAAGGAGGCATAAAAAGCAGGCAATATATCCAGTGTTTAATTAGGAATACTGGAATCGCCCAAGTTGAAAAAAGCCGAATATTGAAAATATAGGGTAAGAATTGAAATTTCGCAAGACGTGAGTAAATAATGTATGAAAACGAGAATGATATTTTGCCCATTATAACGAGAAGGACCTTAACAATCGCTAAAATCTATACAATATGATAATTTCAAGTGTGACACTAAAACAGTATTGAGGCACAACACTTAGTACCTTACTCCGGTATATAATCGGACAAGACTTTCACATAGTTAAATGCTAAGATCTCGCCTTTGTTCCAGTCGAAATGCACTTTTTGACCTATTCATGTGTTCACACCGATTAACTTATGATCATAAATGAAAAGATGTCAGAATCGCCGAACACAAAATCGATATTTTCTTACTTGGGATCATGATACTTGTCAAACGTTTAAAGATATTGCATCAACACTGTAGTGAGTTCAAAAGACTTAAGAACAGCGACCGGACTTGCAAGGCGACGTTCACAGAACGAAGCCCCCGATACAACCCAGCCACACCAGCAAAGAACCCAGTAGTTCAACGAACCAGTCATATTTCATCTTAGTTAAACAACGGTTATTATTAAAATTGCATCGGATGTGAAATATTCTAGTATTTTGATCTCGCAAGCAAAACATAAAAAAACACAACATCCAATACGCTTTTGGTAATGATGATATAAAATAACATTACAAGTGTCTCATTTACAACGCCACTTAAAGTTATGAATTGCTACCTGGAATAGAGTATAAAAATGATTCCCTAATGGCAGTGATATATTTATAATTACAATGTCAAATATATATCTGTCAGCATCAGTCTCTATTGTCCTATAATGGTCGAAAACGGATTGGCATTATATCTTATTTATAATTAAAATAATGTTTGAATGAATATATAGAATGAAATTGATATAAACTAGAAATAAATTTGGATTTGATGTATCCCCTAACACACACACGTGCGCAGGGCGGACGGACAAAGGCTATTATATACGCCCTCGTCCCCCATATCCTTTAGGGCGGCATATGAGTTGATTTTGTTATGGTATTGTCTTCTTAGATTGCTTGCATTAAATTACAATAAAGAAACCAGTTTATAACCATTACAATAACAGTATAAATGTTATAGTTATGTAACTCTTTTTTTAAATAAACACTTTGTTCTTAATTGCATCTTTGTACATAAAAATGATATGTAATTGTAGAAATTTTAAAGTTATATTGAATAAATTTAAAAAAATATTTTGCCATAGGCTGTCTGCAGTTTCATTACCCAGTTTTGCTGTACATCTCATCAAACATTGTTCATCAATTGCGATTTTAAATGGACAACTCCACGGTAACACTAATTCGTATACGAATTTTAACATGCAAAGGAATATTTTAATCAGCTTATGTATGCGCTACGTCACAGTGTATTATTTACTATCCGAAACACATCAATATGAGATTTTCTTGTTTAACACACTTTAACCGTTTTAGCTTCACGATACATTAGGCCTGGCGTTCAGAAAAAAGAAATCATCTCATAAAAAGATTAATTTCGACTGTAAACATCCGTTACAATGCAGAAATATACTGTTTGATTAGGACTGCTACGCATAGCCATGTTTGTTGATTTAATATTTTTGTATGGGTGATCTAAAGGGGTGTTTTTCATGCAAACAGAAATTGTACTTTCGATTCATCTACAATGAGGTTCCAGGCTTGTATCCTTTTAAAAGGTCAGTTTGGTTGTCTGACACCAAAATAAGATCTGAAGTCGATATGAAACCCAATTTATTAATGAAATGCCGCTATTTTTGTTTTTATCAAATATCTTAAATGCAGCTTTAATAGATTAAACATCAAAGGTATATTTCTTTTTCACCATTTCTTTAACTTTGTAGAAGATAAACGAAGATAAAAGTTGTGTTTATATATTTTCTTTCAGTCAACTCCTAGATTTCTGTTACATCATTGAAACAAATTAACCCAATAAAATGCCGCCATGTCTTACATCAAGGTTTTTGTAACGCATAAGTTTCTGAATGCTTGTTCAGATTTATGTTGTTTACATCTGAAAAAATAAATATGTCAAGGTTATAACACAGTTTAGAACAATCTGGAACCTTATCAGAATGCAACTCGTGATGTTAATACAACTGCGCAGTTTTGTCTCCTATATTATTTTGCATAACTAGTAGAACACAACGAAAATTCTTTGTAAATTTGGAATATGGTACGTTCCATGATGTATTACATGCATTTTGTGCAGTTGATGTTATTATTTATTCTTAATAGTGTCAATGGTAACATGGAATGTGATTGTAACAATATATATGCCGTACAGGAAGTAATGCAAAAAGAGTTATTTCAAATCAAAGTAGAAAACTTTAAAATGGCGTCACGCCTGCGAAGATTGGAAGCTTCAAGCAAACATTCTAAGACGATGAATCACCAACTTTCAGAAACAGGTAGATTGAGTTCTTTTTATGTTCATTTTGTTTTTCAAAGGGAGCGTTTTATGGTGTTACAATATCAAATATCCTATAAGGTTAAATGAAAATAATTAGAATGCCATAATATTGATGCTAAAATGTGTAAGATTGTGCTGCCAAGCTACATCACAGGTCATCAATGCAATTTTAATTCTGGTTTTTAATCAAAATTAAAGCTAATATTAATAAAGATAGCCGACATCAACAAAATAATTGAATGGTGTGCAGCCTTAATTTGAATTTATAGTACAAAAAGTACATGTTTGAATTCAGTTTATGTGTCATAGCCTTTTCTTATTTATTTTTAATCATTTGTTTAATTTACCTTATATGTGTCTTATTCTTTATCCTTTTTGTTTGTTTTTGAAGATTTATTTTCTTTTACTTATTTTTATATTTTTATTTGATTGATTTTTTTTTCAATTTCTTAAACATATCAAAGAAGATATTATAATTAAATTTGGATGTTGTTAGTAAATGTCAAATATATGACTCGATATTACATATATTTATATAAAGATAATTAACTGTTCTAAAACAAAATATTATCATTCATCATGCAAGTGGTCATCACTTAGAACGATCAATATTTATCTAATGATTCATTTCTATGGGTTCTTTTATCAATTTTTTGAACGTGGAAAATTTGTATAATGTGCCTTTTTATTATTCAAATCATCGTTATGGGGGTAGTAATTGTAAAATTGCTTATTATTAAAGTGTTATTATTACTGACTATGTTGATGCAAAACGTCATCACAAGCATTTAAATGATTACAATTGTTGACATCAATTACGTGTTTTTCGTAAGTTATTTGAAATTCTATCATGACCCGCTTTTTCTATAATGAACATAGAATGATCGAAAGTGTAAGTTATTATGCAATAAAACCACGATTGACGTTCTAAGCGACTTGATGAAATTTATACGTACGGAAACAAATCATGTGCAATTCAGCTTGATATCAGTTACGGCTGTATTAATTTGTTGATGTTTTGTAGAATTTGAATAATATATTCAAAGCATCGCTTGATAAAAATAACTGTTTGTTGTTTGGATACGCATTATTATAAAATTCTAAATTAATCCCTTGCATCCGAATTCATAACAGTGCTTTGATTTAGCGATAAGATAAACAGAGTCTGAAATAACCTAATTTTATACAAAACGAAGGATTATAGAATAATCTGCACACTTCATGATAACATGGAGTTTAACCTATCGAAACTTTGGAGATTGATAACTTGTAAAAAAACATATTAATCTTAAATATTTAAAAATGTTTTTACAAAGAATCATTAAAAAGCCACACGTGTAGTTTTGCTTCAATTATAAATGTTATATAACATTATCATTTATTTAACTAATTTCAGTTTCTGACATGACAAAAGACCTAGATCCTAGTCATGACAAAACAAGAAATGATATTAAAAGAATAGAGACCATCGAATCAACATTGGCAATAATTGTCCCACAGTTTGAATCTTATATTCAAAACAAGACAAATGATATTAAACACAGACTGCACGAACAACGGATAGACAAGGTTGAATCTGAACTCGCTTTAGTTTCTAACAAAACAGATGATCTCCTTGACATGGACGTGAAAATGCTATCAACTCTGGAAGACATTACACTAAAAAACAGGACAGGTAATCTTCATTTGATTCATCTGGCTGTAAAGATACTAATATATGCATAAAAGCAGCATACCTCAAGATAATTATATAACGGTAATTATATAAAAAAATAAAACTTGAGAAAAAAGTCATAAGATTCAAATACATGTTAAATGATTAAAGATTCAAGTAATGCTTTTCTTTGAATATGCGACTAATTACTGATTTTGTGGTATTTATCACCGGATTTCTACAACGTGACTTATACAGTTAGGGCTATTTGTTTCATAATTTTACTTCGTCTTTTGTAATTTGCTTAGGATTTATGTGCCGTTTGCATGGTGTAAATTACTTTCTAAGTTCGCTTCACAAAATTTAACTCTGAAATATCTTTTTTGAAATGTTCATAAAAATTTGAAAAAATCTGGTGGCATGCTGTTTTGAAGGTTAACTTTACGGTACAAGTGTAACGACAATGTTTTTTACCTTCATATAATCTTATCTCAATGCTGCTGCAAATTAAAAAATATATTAATCTGAAAATCTAACCTTTCACAATCTGTGAGAAAGGCAGATCCATAGAAGCAACTTAACAACATAGATATATGGAATGTGCAAAATCGCATTGATTAAGTCTGTTAAAGCACTTATTTTGCTCGTTTATATAACATGTCACATTTTTGGTATGATTAAAGAGTTTACGAAACTGTAAATTGTATTATTTTTTGTCGAGATAATCAAATTTTTGCACAATATATGGAAAACAAATCACCAGAGTGAAATAATAAGTGTATGATTTACGTTTTAATTAATTGACGGAATTTTCTTTTAGTTTGGTTAAAACATGTTTTATTCAAAAAGCATACATATTATATGTAAGCAGATTCAGCTATATACACTTTGAAAATGGATTAGGACGAACGATATCCAATATTTTACAGAATTTTCTGCTTGAATGTGTATATGTATAAAATTCTGGAAATAAAGTGATCCCATGGAAGCATTAATCACAACAAAATAACATAAGAATTGCAGACTCGGTTTGATTGAGTCTGTACATGAGGGATTATGTATAAGTGCAACATCCCTCACGCCCCCTAGCACCGGCTTGAGCGGTACTCAATTCTCAACACTTTATAGTGTTGGCATCAATGATCCCGAAGGACCAGAAAAAATAACAACACTGAAGTGAAGTACGGGGCAACTTTTAACGGCTGTATTTTAACAAGGAAAAACTTTAAAAATTAACTGAATTTATAAAGAATTTATTGTTGTAGACGGAGGATGGAGTTGTTGGGGCAATTTTACCTCGTGCAGTGCCACGTGTGGTAGAGGAATAATGATGAGATCTAGAACCTGCACAAATCCCAAGCCATCTCTCAAAGGAAAATACTGTGAAGGTTCTCCAATACAAATAGCAGTCTGTAATAGGAACCCATGTCCAGGTAACATGATATATAATTTTGAGTGGATATCTTTATTTATAAAAATGCAATGCAAGTAAAATTTTATGCATGGAATAACTTTACTATCTTAAATGTAATGTGTTATTCGATATTTAAAAAACTTTTTATGTGACATAAGTTCGGATTGTAAGACAATCTGAAACAGTAATGGTCAAATCACACATTCAAGCTTTACCGATGATGAAATACCTAAAATATGCTCTTGTGCATTGCTTAAAGTGGTGGCCGTGTTGGTAGTTTTCACTTTGGATCACGGCAATAAAACTTATAACTTTTGTAGATGCCAGAGCACAGGTACAGGAAGAATTATTTACATTCCAATGTTATACCTGTATATACTACTCAATTTTTGCTAAGCACCATATGTTGGAGTATGATTATGTCACGGAAAGATAACCCATCTCCAGGCGTTTTGATATTTCGATTTTTTTTATTTCTTTGATTGTTCATTAATTGAAACATCCATCACTTTTTTTACATGAAATGGGACTAAGTAAAGGGTTTATGCTTAAGAAAAACAAAATTCTCAATGCAAACGTGATACATAAACTGGAATATATCTGCTTTAGCCTTGTACCCTTTTCCTGTTTTGTTTGGTGTCATGCTAGGCTCCTTGCCAGTTTTCAAGGTAAGGTATAGTGATGCGGCTATGTCTGGCGTCCGTCTTTGTGCGTCATCAACATTTGGGTTTTTAACACGCTAGCAGTCATAGTTTTGATTGGGTCATATTCAAACATGTCAGAATGTTTGTCGAAATATTATACAAATCAATTTCGCGTATGTGTCATCTCGGTATGCAAGTTTGTTTTCATGATTTCTAGCTCTAGTTGGAATATTGGTCACCTTGGGCCAAAAAACAAAGTCAATCCTAGACATGAACACAAACCTTTTTAACATTCTAATGGTCACATTTTTGACTGAATTGTCATCAAACTTGGTCAAGATGCTTGTCTGGTTAATTGCTTCGAGAATTTTGAACATCATCTTTGATGAGAAGCAAGGTCACAGGAGCTAAAAATAGAAAAATCTTTTTTACTCTCTAGTGGCTTCTGTTTTTATCCTAATATCATGGAAATTGGTCTGCAAGTTTGTTTTTATAAATTCTAGGTCAGGTATAAATGCTCAAAAACATGGGCACTGCCCAAATATTGGAAAAACTTTGATAACACTCTATAGGACACAATGATTTACTGAATTGTCATCAAACTTTGTCAGGATGCTTGATAGTGTAAGAATAGAAAACGCGCAAGAAATATATTCAGACGTAAGTAAAATGTTTCAGAATGAAAACAATCTTTTGCCCACTATTACCGGAACGACCTTTTCCTACGACCATATTCGTATTGATATAATGAGGTCATATGACCTCCCATTTTTTTTCCTCTTCCATTTAACGTCTACGACTCCATATACTATGAGAATTGACCTTGTGTAATATTTTACGGTTTCCATTTTTAGGACCCCACAATTGTTGCAGGGTTGTAGATTTCCTCTTAACCAACCTGCCGAAATTTCTGTTGTGCTTTCATTGACAAAACAGCATAATTCCTGGGCATCTGTGACATTTCTATTTTTATTTTATCTAACTTTCACACTTTTGAAGATAATACTTACAAACAAATGTTATTGTGTTTTTGTATACTTTATAATTTAGAAATGGTATTTGCTAAACAAACTTTTTCAATATTGAACTGTGTTAGAAGGAACAAAACGAATGTATATTTAAACAATACTAGTTTTATCTTTCCATAAATATATTTATAGGTTTTTCTGTCATTGTTCATTCTAAGAAAAGGTCATTTATCGATAAGTTAGTCATCAAATGTTATATTAATGTTGACATCATAGAAGAAACGATAAACGATAAACAAAATTATTAATATATGTTTTACAAGTATTGTTTTTTCCTTTATTTATTTTTCTTCTTTTTAAGAATTTTCATCCTTTTATTTATTTACTTTTTATCTGTTTTATTTTTTTAAATTTTATTTCTTTTTTGCTATCGAAAAAAGGCTTACACTGATGATTAACATCCTTGCAATAATATAATGAACATTCTTAAGAATGAGACATCAGTGTTGATAAATATTGACAGTAGTTTAGTTAGTTACCTGTCTATCACGAATCGTTGAACTTCTTATTGAGTGGTATTGAACACATTTGCGGATGTTTCTAAATTTAAACTTTCTTTATTACTATAATTAAATATCTAATTCTGCATAAGCTGATGCTAGGTGGCGTGAACGGTGACTAGCACTCTCCAAAAGCTTTTTCAAACAGGCTATTTGATCAAACCGAGTCTGCAACATTGTCTATTTTGTCGTTTACACGTTCTCTAGGTATTCTGTGTCTTTGTATTTTATTCGTATTAGTTTGTGCTTCATTTCTTATTAATATTTCAAACATACTTGCAGTTGAAAAGGCCGTAGTTACAACCAAGGAGCCAGGTAGGATAACATTTTTAATCTCAAAAAAAACTTCAGTAAACATTAAAGGAGCTCCTATAGGGTCTTAATGTCTAAAAGTATGCAATATTAAATCCTTACGGGATTATTATATATATATAATAGAATTTCAATGTATTCAGAATTATGTTCATGACATACTTTTGTGAATTCTAGGAAGACCATAAAACGTACTAGTTTTGCGTTTTGCTTAAAAAGCTAGCAAGTATTCCTTCTCTTGAAATATTAAATTACAATTAAGGTTTGTACGATTTCATATTTGATACATGTTTCTTTTGAGTGCCTGCTAGATACAGGTTTATAGTAACTTTCATCTGTAAATAATTCAAATACTTTTTCTTATAAAAACTAGTATCAAGTACAACAATACAATATAATATAACAAAACATGCTTTGGAATTTTAATTCTCGCTGTTTTTTTTTTTTTGTGTGTGTTGTTTTTTTTGTATCGTCATTTTCAACTTGACTTTTGATAAGAGATCACAGTATTCGAACTTAGATACTCATAAAAATTGTATAATGTATAGGTTGTAAACTGGCAGAGGTCGATCTTGTCATAAATATTGATTCATCACTAAGTATGCGGAAGTCTAATTTCCAGACGATGCTTGATTTCTGCAAAGAGCTTGTGGACTACACTGATGTAGACAGCGGTAGTGTTCGCATTGGTGTTCTCATATACAGTACAGAAGTAGTGATTCAATTTCATTTGAATGAATACAACACCAGTGCAGCAGTGAAGGCTGCTATTGATAAAATACCTTATATTTACGGAAATACAAACACTGCTGATGCTATATTGACTATGTACTCAAGAATGTTCACAAGATCAAACGGAGATCGTCCAGGAGTTCCAAATGTCGGTATTTTGTTAACAGATGGTGTTTCAAATATCAACGCTGGAAGAACTATCCCAGAGGCCAACATTGCTAGGACGAAAGATATCTTATTATGCCATTGGTTAGAAAAGTTAATGAATTTGAGTCAATAATAATAATAATAATAATAATAATAATAATAATTATAATTATAATCATAATAATAATAATTAAATAATAATAAATATATAAATAATTATACCATCGACAATAATTATTATATACTAGCAGATTTGGAAACATATATCATTATTAATAATAATACTAGTAACAAATAATTATTATTATTTTAATTAGTAATATAGTAATTTCTTAGAAAACCTTCTGGCAAATAGGTGATCAATAAATAAATTACCCTTTGGCAGCGAAAGGGTTAAGTTTCTCAGAAAAAAATATTTAAAAAAAAATGTAAATGACTTTGGTAAAATAATTTGATTGATTTGAATTTCTAAGAAATTTTTATATCAAGTAACGTTTTTGTCATAAGTATAACTAATTAGTTCGACTTTCTTAGAAGTATTATTATTGTATAAAATACTGAAAATTTAATATTTAAGTTAACTTTAGGTTCTTAGAGATATTGTTTCAAAGTATCGTTTGCGCATTTGGTAAAGTAATTTGATTACTTGGAGTGCTTTAAAAAAGTTCTAAGGAGGTTATGTATTTGCCATTTATAAATGATAGGAAATGAATATCGCTTCTAAGAAATAATCTTAAGCATTTTATGCCTTAACAATTCAACTAGCTTTTAACTTGCTAACTGGCATGTATGCCTTTGGTTATAATTATGTACACGAGTTCATTAGAGGTATTGTTATAAAGTATTGTAAAATAATGTATATAGCATAGTGTACTATAAAATTATAACAATCTGAGTAAATATCTCTGCGTTGCAACATTGCTTGAAAATATGTCCAGACAAATGTTCTTTTATACTGTATTGATCACTGTTATTTAATGTATCTCATTAAAACAAAAAGAGGCTTCTTCTATAAGGTAATAAACATCATTTTACTTTTTAAAAATAGTTCATATTATATGGCTTTTATTATAAGAAACATACAACATTAAAGAACATTAAAAATTTTTACGACAAATGAAATGCTATAAAACAAATATTAAAATTTATAGGCTAACCAATATGTCAAACATATTCAAATCGAAATACGACGCAATAGATTTAAATAAATATAGTGTCTTTCTATTGTTTTTCTATAAGAAAGCATAATCAAGCTATGCATTTATTTAATCTCATTTCCTAAAGCAAAGTAAGCAAATACCTTTTATTCATTATTTAATAAAAGATTTAAGTTTCCAGGCAATACATTTGCAACATGAAAATTTTTCTCTTAGGATCATGTGTCAGATTATCTGGTAAAAAATTTATTGCACCCAGTGATTTCATAACCGTTTTTAATTTCTTATTTTAGGCATCAAAGTAACAGGCACACAGGAACTTGACGGTATAGCTAACACCCCAACGGATCAGTTTAGATTCCTTGTAAAGACTTTTGAAGAGCTCGCTGGAGTTTGACCGAGGG